AGGAGGCGAGTAGCCTTTCGGCAGTGCGCCCGAAGACGCACCGTAATCATTAGGCTACTATGGAACATTCCAGCCCCGCTCGCACTTCCGATGTGTAAACATATTACCGTCCGCCGCTGAATGCAGACGTCGCTTGGCGCTACGACACACACACACCACGACTGCACGGACGCCACGCCGCACGCGCGCTTAAACACCACCACACAGTTCCGTAATCTCTCTCTCCTCTCTCGTCTCTCTCTCGTTCTTCTCTCTCTCCTCGTCCTCCCTTCTTTCTCTTTCTCTCTCTCTCTCTCTCTCTCTCTTTCTCTCTTCTCTCTCTCTTTTCCTCTTCTCTCTCTCTCTCTTCTCTCCTCTCTCTCTCTCTATCTCTCTCGCTCTCTCTCTAGTTCTTTTCTCTCTCTCTCGCCTCCTCTCTTTCTCTCTCTCTCTCTCCTCTCTTTCTGTCTTTTCCCACACGAACCATAGTGTAAAAGTGTCGTTATATATATTTATATATTTATATATATTTATATGTGTGTGTGTGCGCCTCGCGTGCGTGTGTGCGTCTGTGTGCATGCGAGCGTGCGTGCGTGCATCGTTTGTGGTGTGGTGTGTGTGCTGTGTGTGTGTGCGTGTGTGTTGCTGGTGTGCTGTGCTGGTCTGTGTGCGTGCGTTCGTAGCGTGCTTATGTGCGTGTGTGTGGCGTGCGTGCGCGGTGTGTGTTGCGTCGCTGGCATAGTACGTTATATAGCGGGCGGCGCTGCTAAACATAGTATTCCGTTAGATCATTTACCGCCTCTGTTCCGGACTGTTTGCTTCTGTTAACGTAGGTTTTCTTCTTCAGCCGGGTACTACGACGTTAGAAGAGGGAGGCGCGGGGTAGCGGGGAAAGTGGGTGTGCATTGTTAGTGAACGATCTAGAGAATGAAGCATAAATACTGTGCTAAGCTGGTTTTATTAAGCACTCGCGCGCGCACGCACGCACACGCACAAACGCACGGCACTCACGCCACGCCGCCGCACACATACAGTAACTACACGCGCACTCATGCGCGACAAGCTTCCTATAACACACGAGCGGATTATACTTATGATTATAATAATATGCAGTAGATAGTTCGGATGCCAGAAATCCGTACCACCCGAGAATCCGGAATTTTTCGAAAACGCAAATTCAACTTCTCTGTTTTAGAAACTAAACATAAATAATTAATTGTGTAAATAACTTCTGCCTTTCATTTGTTTACATTCATTTCGTTGTTCATTGTTCATTTGTTTTTCTTTTACAATGCTTCATTTTATCAACATTGATTTCATGCATTACACGACTGTATTTTTTTTTTAGTAAAACTTTTGCACACGTGTTTCTATTTTTTAGTCAAGTTGTTGACTTTTGATGTTTTCGATAAATGAAGTATGCTGTATTTGCTAACGAACAAACTATTCGAAATTTACTTGTTATCTCTTCTTTATTCCTCCTTTAATTTGAATTTTAAAAAGCACACAGCCCGAGAATCCGAAAAATCCGAAAAATCCGGACCAACCAAATCTCCGCAGCAGCCCGTATTTTCGGCGGCTTTATTACTGTAAGTATAATTCTCACTTTCTAAAAACGTTATATATATTATATCGAGAGCTTAAATAATAGCCAGAATAGGCCTCATTGCTGTATATATATTATATATATAATATATTATATATATACTCAAGTCTTCTTTATGCTACTCTTGATACAGGGCCCGTAGCCAGCTTTCTTATTGGGGGGGGTTCGTTTTTCAATGTTGGCAATATTGCTCGGCAGCGGGTGTACAGGATTTGCCCAGGTGGGGTCTAACGTAACCAAGTTGCGAGGCACGCGAGGAGGGTCGGGTGGGGCGCTCCCCTCCGAAATTTTGCTTAAAATTAGACCCCCTCAGAACATGCGTTTTTTCTGCGCGCAGCAATGGGGGGGTCCGGCTCCCTGCGACCCCCCAAAACACGCCCTGCTCGGTGCGCGAAAGCGACCAGGCCGAGCGGAGCAACGCGACGCGAAGCTGGGGGCGAGGGTGTGGCGAGGGGGTCAGTGTTCACTTGTTCACCACTCCCGCACGATTTTGAAGATTTTATGCAATTATCTACACTAACATGGGCGAGGACCTGATGGTGAATTCTTGCAAAATTTTTCAAAATTATTATTTTTTTGCTTGGTGGGTGTGGGGCGGGCGGGACTGGCTCGGCGGGGATTCGTATCGAGCAACCCCCCCGAACCCCCCTGGCTACGGGCTGTTCGAATACTATATATATATATATATATATATATATATATATATATATATATAACACGCCCCAAGACCCTACGACACGCTCTCTCTTGCCTCGATCCGCTGCAACCCGGAACCATCAATGCTTACTCGTTCACAGAGACGTATACCAGTCTTCTCGGCCTCTTGCCCTCATTCCAGAGATACGCGAGAAGCTGCGATCACCCTCCCCTCCTTCTCAGCTGCACATCCCTGTCAAACGCTGCCGGCACTAGCCGCATCACACCCGGGCTTCATCTCTATAACCCATTAACGCTGGCTGGTGTGGAGACGGGCAATCACATACAGAGATAAAGGGACCGACTCGAGCACACAAACACAGCGCGAACCCATCGCCCATTCACGGCGCCTCTCTATGGGCTGACCCATTAGGCCATTGCCCCCCCCCTGTGGTATATATCACGCATCCTGGCTACCTATAACCCCCTCACAGTCTCCACAAGCCGATATGATGCTGGTCCACCGTTTCGGCTTCACATACGCAGTTTTTATAACACACTTACAATATTTGTAAACTTTACACCGTTTCAAGCATTATAATGGTAGAAATGAAACGATTTTACGGTCTTTCGTTCCATGAATAAATATTACACGATTGAACTCGCATGTATAAATAAGGCCGTGAAGAGAAGCAGATACACGAGCATATGATTTCGAATGTGGCATGTTTAATACGATGCGAGCTGTATCCAGCATTGATTTACACTACTTTGCGGTGGCCTAATGAACGGCTCAATCTTAATTAGTACTTTCGTCATGGGCTTCTTAATCATCGTTAATCTGGTCTTAATTAGAATCATCATCGCTTAACACACTAGTGCGGTCGGGTTACTAATTAAAGTCACGCAGGCTGCATTTTAGCATAAACACTAGGAATTTTCCCCACTTACTCCCGGTGCACGCAATATCACATTTTCTTCACCATGCTTTTAATTTATCCATGACTAATCATGAAAATGTGAATCGTGAATAAAGGTTAGCCTACTAGTTGCATTATGCATCTATCCTAAGTGCTTTGTTAATTACCTGCAATATCATAGCCGTTGTAATTATCTAGGTATCGCTTGGAATTTCCGAGATGCTAGCTGTTGCAAAGATTACTTCCAAGTTCTAATGATACAAGGTTCAAACAAGAATTCCCTGTGAGACGAAAACAGGAGAACTAGATATTTTTTTTAAATAGTTTCAGCAGTGAATTTGTGTTTATTCGGGTTGTATTTGTTTAGTTATTATAGGATTAATGCGTAACGTGTCGTAACAAAATGCGTAACGCAACAACCGTGGAATGCAAAATACAGACGATTTGCATTTTAAAATGTATAATTTTATAGTCACATGAACACTATATCATATTGTTTACTAAACTATCATCTATCTACAGTCAAACCTGTCTTAACGGGCACCTCTATAGAACGGGCACATGTATATAAAGGACACTTTTGAGGGGGTTCCTTTGAGTGGACGTTATATACGTTTGGGTGTATTATCTTTCTATCTAAATAACAAATCTATCTTTATTTGTTCGAATGTGAACGCCTCTTCCCTCCACCTTCTATCTACCTATCTATCTATCATTACATGTTGCTTCTTATCATCTTTACATCATAGATTCTGATCCCCTACACCATCATGGTCCATGCACAAACTAGCCCGTCCTAACCCTATCTATCGTTATTTCTTCGATTGATAATCCTTCCATTCCACCGCTTCTAGCTATCTTCAGTCTAAGTGTTCTGCCCCTTCTTCCTACCTATCCATCTTTGCATTTTCGATTGCTAACTATACTCCGTCCCACCCCTTCTATATATTTCCCGTCTGAGTGCTCTGCCCATAGCGCCTATATATCTATCTATCTTTACATTTTCCATTGCGAACCTGTAGATCCAAACCCTTATCTATATATCTATCTATCTAATCACCAACCCACCCATCTATCAAAACCCAAACACCCATCCATCCATCCATCCATCCATCATCCATCCATCCATCTCAATCCACTCCATCCATCCATCCCATCCATCCATCCATCCAATCAATCCATCCATCCATCATCCATCCATCCGATCACGCATCCATCCATCCATTTCCATACCATCCATCCATCCACATCCATTCATCCATCATCATCCATCCATCCATTCCCCATCATCCATCCAATCCATCCACTCCATCCATCCATCATCTGCATGCATGATGCATGCATGTCCATCCAATCCATCCATCCCCATTCCATCCATCCACTCATCCATCATCACCACCCACCCACCCCACCCACCCACTTACCCACCACACATCCATCCATTCCATCATCACACTCCATCAATCGATAGATACACCCACCCACCACAGTCCCTTCATTCATCGCACCACCATCCATCTCATCTATTCATGCCACCCACTCATCCATCCATCCATTCATCCACCCACCCATCCACGCCACCATCCACGCACACACACACACACACTCACGCACCACGGGCACACGCACACGCAACACGCACACGCACACGCACACGAGACACACACCACGACACCACGCACGGCACGCACGGCAATGCACGACACGCACCGCACGCACCGCCGCCGGCCACGCCACGCACGCACGCATCGCACCGCGCACGCCACGGCGCACGCACACACACCACACACGCCGCGCGCGCACGCACGCACACACACACACACACGCACGCACGCACACACACACACACACACACACACCTGATCTCGTAGATGAGTGAGCGCAGCTCCTCGTTCTGGCGGCGCAGCGTGTCGAGCTCTCCGAGGGCGCGGCGGATGCGCTCGTGCGTCGCGCTGCCGTCGTCACTCGACGACTGATAGACGGATCCGAACATGTAGACGACTACGATCAGCCAGACGACGAGCACGAGAGCGATCCAGCGGGCCGGGCTGCGCATACTGCCTCCTCATTACCTTCTGCTGTCAACAACAACAACAACAACAATGTCAACAACAATAATGTCAACAACAACATCATCATCATCAACGACGACGACGGCGACGGCGGCGGCGGCGGCGACGACGACGACGATGACAACAACAACAACAACAACAACAACAACAACAACAACAACAACAGTATCACTAGTCACCACCATCACCAACAACAAGAACAGCAACGTAAACACACGGGCTGAAAACCTCATCATCGGTAACAATGTTATTCATGCTCGCCCGCGTGCGTGCGTGCGTGCGTGCGTGCGTTCTGGCGCACATGCGGTATGAATGAGGCCGCGAACGTATGAATATATCTATGTAGCTAACTACACACAACTCACTACTCACTAACTAAACACTACTCACCAACTAAACACTACTCACTAACTAAACACTACTCACCAACAGCAACGCGCACACGCAACACAGACGTAAAACTTCATTACCGACAACGCGCTTAGATAGTACGCCTACGACGGCGGAGGCTGCTACTGCGCATGCGTTTAGGCCGCGAAAACATACATAGGTTTTCGTAGATGTCTGCAAAAATCTATACATTGCATACCAAATGACACGCAGAAATACGCACGCAGGCAGACGCGCGAACAAAAGCCTCACGTCGTGTTTATGTCTACGCTGCATAACATAATTCACCAGCTAATACAACAATGACTTTTTCACTGCCGCTAATTACACATTTCGATCGATTTAGAACGCTACACGCTAACAAACTCATCTAGTATGAATGCCATTGAGAAACATGCCAGGGAATCACTATGGAAGCAGGGATGCCTGCCTGTCCGCGCCAGCAGCAGCAGCAGCGCTCTAAATCAATCATGATCACGGAAATCTGTCGTCAGCAGCAATATAAACGCCGTAGCTCTCAAACCTTATGATAGTTCCTAGTGTAATGGCATGCCAACGGAACCTATACACTCCAATAGCACCTTGTTCATGCACCCGACACGGAACCTCAGCGATTTTGCGACGAATCGCGAATCATAGCAGCTGCACGCAGCTGGTAAATTTAACGGTAAAATTCTACGGCGTGTTATTTGACTATTCCGAGAGCTTTGTGCTAGATTTGAGACGTTTTACGACAATGCCTACGAAAGTTTCTGCAAGTTGTCGTGTCACGGTTATGAAGTACGTACAAAGGCAGGGCATTAGAATGCTGAAGGATTCCATGCATACAGGCTACACTATCAACACTACACGCTCTCAATCTGTATCTGACAATAGTAATTTGCGATTTTTGGATTGTTGCGAGTTAGTGGTAATATGCTAAACGAGCCTTTATTCTGAATCTGAAAACTGCATTTGCTTTCCTGTTCCATCTATTTTCCTTCTTTTCCTTCTTGAAATATATAGCACATAGGAATCCAAAATTCGGCTCTCGTTTTCTTGCTCTCGTCCCCTCTGCCTCTCTCTTTCTCGCTCTTATTTCAATCTGTATCTGACAATAGTAATTTGCCGAAGCGATTTTTGGATTGTTGACAACTACAAATTGCAGACAAAACGAGTTAGTGATAATATGCTGAACGGGCCTTTATTCTGAATCTGAAAACTACATTTTCTTTCGCCCTCTTTCTTTCTGGAAATACAGCACATATATGAATACAAAATTCAGCGCAACCTTTCTTGCTCTCCCCACCTCTCTTTCTCTCTCTCCCTCTCTCGCTCTCTCTCTCTTTCTCTCTTTCTCTCTCTCTCTCTCTCTCTCTCTCTTTCGTCGAAAGGCGGTTGGTAAATTGACGCCGGACAGACACACGATATTTCTGATAAGAATAGTCCCAATATTTTATATTAGGGCTGTTATACTATATTATTATTAAGGTAAAAATTAAGATTGTCACATTATCATTATTTCACATTTTGGTAAAAAAAAACATTAACGATCAAACTCCATTGAAAAACGTCGTTCCAAACTCGTTTCGGTCGATGAATTGGGAGTCTGGAAATCTTTCTAAAATGAATTACCAACTTACTTCGTAACCGTGATTTTAATTAAGGTATGCGCTTTAGTCGTGCATACATTAAACTGTTTAGTGCACTGTTTGCTCTGCATGTTAATTTTATGTATAAAGTATCCGTATTATTGCATGTTTATATATATCTTAACGCATGATTTGATTTTTAAAACTAATTACACCGATATATAGTGCTGATCGACTCACATCACCAATTCTAACACAGTGATTAAACTAACACCAAACATGCCACGGCGTTATACAGTATGATGCCTGTAATATATTCAGATAAAAGTAAGTTCATTAGAATAATAGAAAGACAACTGCTGACAAATGGTATCAAAACGACACGACTGTGCAAATATTCCTCGCACTAAAACAACTGAAGCTGCAACACTCTAAATCAGTGGTTCTTAACCTTTTTAGAGGCGCCGAACCCTAACGAAACCCACTGCTCACTCACTGAACCCCTCAAATTTGACAAAAACAAATCAATTTTAATCAATCCAAAAATAAAACATATTGCTTCAACATTCAAGGATATTTGGAAAGCGTGCAAAGAATGAACAAAAAATAAAAATTCTAGCAAATTCTAGCAAAATTTTAATGCGTTTCGGAGGACCTCCGCCGAACCCCTGAGACTGGCTCACCGAACCCCTGGGGTTCGGTCGAACCCAGGTTAAGAACCACTGCTCTAAATTAAAACACGTAGGTACGCATGCATCTATTTTCACAAATGATTCCACAGTGTTTTGCAGAGTTCACTGTGCTGTAGAGCATTAATCATAGTCATCAGTAGCGATAGGAACCTAACACATTCTGTTGCCACGGGCTCGATTCCATTTCTATCGCTTTCACTACATGTGCAAACATGCACTGCATGCACTAGCACTGACTGACAGAGAAGCCATCTCGCTCTGTGTTGCCCAACGTATTGACTTTCCTTTGTTGAAGGTACTCCGTGAGGTTGCTCCTTGGGGTTAGACAAGGAGACGGTTAGACAGGTGTCCATTCTAAAGAGATGGTTTCACTGTATTCACTGTTTCACTCAACTGAAAATCCAAAATTGACCTTTATAGACAGTTGTCCCTTCTACAGATGTGAGCGCTAACAGACGCTTGACTTCATCATCACATGCACTGAAGCTCAATTTATGTACAACCTAGCCACACGTTTCTAGCAGAACTCCCCCCTTCACCCGCAAAACTTGTGAAAACTTTTCGATTACAGTGTTTAGAATAGCTGCAAGTAGTGCTGACGCATGTCTTTGATACGCGAATAAAATAAAACAAAACAAAAAAATTGATTTCCACATCACGAGAGAGCAACGAGTGTAGAGATCTGCTTGATCAGCTGCGTAAAACAGCGCAAGCTGTCACGCAGCCGTGGCGAAACTGCGAGAGCAGCACTCCGTGATGGCTCAGCGCAAATTTCCAGAGAGAGAATAAAAAGAGGATGACGTTTGAACCGGGGTGCGGGTTGTTCACGTGCGAGCGCGGACTCGTGGCAAGACTCGCTCGCGTGCGACGCGTGTCGTCGCCGTCGCTATCACAAAACGTCCGCCACCGTCATCCAAGAGTTTACGAAGACACACGACGTGAAATATATATCTGTCATGCATATAACTGTCAAACGACAGGATGGTTTTCTACCGGTTTGTGTAAGGCGGAGGGGGAAGGGTAGTCTTTGCGTTAAACCAAACTTTTTTGTGTGAAATGCCGAGGTTGGAGTTCTACCAAGAATATCAGAGAAATCTTTGGTGTTGATTAGGGGGGTGATTTAGGTTGAAATTTGGGGGGGTGATTAGCTCACAACCATCGATCTCACTCGCTTCATTAGAGAGCTTTATTTCGGCAGCTAAGCTGTCAGCTAATCACATCAATTCCCAAGTAAAACTCCGTTACGAGTAAGCAGTAACAATCACACATCGCTTTAGTCACTTCCAAGTCACTTTTATAAAAACAACAACAACCGTACGACAGTTTCGCACGATATGATGCGTGTAGCATCGGACCATGCACTCACGTACAAGGCGTGGTTGCGAAAATTAACATCACATATTTAAAATTGGATATTGTCAGTCTTTCGGAACATTATTATCATGTTAATCTTGTTATTATGTAATAAAACTTGTATGCCAGAGTTGCTGAATAAAAAATTTAAACCGCATTTTGTGTAGATTGCAGCATCGTGCAGTTTTGATTCATTATTGAGTGCTTCTTATTCACGTATATATCTACCCCCCCTAGTCGGCAATGGCTTAATTTGCATTTGCGTTGAATTTCAAATCAGGCGCATCTCTTTATTCGTCGTTATTCTCGGACGTGATTTTCATAATTCATAGATCGCATTGTGCTGTCGAAAATGTTATTATTTCACGACACAAGTTAGTCAATTATGAGATATGCGGGTAAGAAAATGCACGACTATTTCACTAACTGTACCAGAAGCGCCTATAAATGATGAAATTATTATATAACAGATTTATAGAAGTTCGCGTTTTCCCAACTAACTAGTCGGGATGGTTGTCTGATAAGAACACTACCAAAACGCCAAAAAACGCTTTTAAACAGCGGTCATGTACGCGTGCCCGCCACTGATGATATAATGATCCATGCCTACAACTAGCCACCATGGCGACAAGTGTAGCTTGGCAAAGTATTGAAACCTGCATTCTTAGTAGGTTTTTAGGAAGATAGGAGGATGATGATGATGAGGATGAGGAGAGGAGGAGGAGGAAGCGGGAGGGGGGGGGAGTTGGAGAAGGGAGAAGATGACGAGGAGATGGAGGATGAGGGGGTGAGAATGAGGATGCTGAGGAGGCGGTTCAAGAGGAAGAGATACTGATTCTTTATCCCAGAAAAAAACAGCAGTAGTGAAGTTGAGCGGATGATACTCACAAGAGAGGAGAGGGAGAAAAAAAAGAGAGACGAGACGAGGAGAAGAGAGGTGAAATAGAGGGACAAAGGAAAGGGACTAAGAGAGGCAGAGAGACAGAGGGAGAGGTAAGGA